AAGGCCGGCGGCGACCGTGCCCCACGGAATCTCCTGCGCTCCTCCCGCCCCAGTTCCTGTGCCAGCGCCCCGGGGCCGCTGCCTCCAAAGTGACTGTTGCCTCGTAGCCTCCGCTGGGTCCGGGAACATGAAGCTGCTGCCATCGGTGGTGCTGAAGCTCTTTCTAGCTGCAGGTAAGAGGGCTGCCGACGCCCCCGGAGGTCTGGGGGCGGGGGGATGGGGACGCTCTGCTGGGGGTACCGGGGGAAGGTCGCTGCAGCGCCCCCGGCGTGGGCCACTTGGTGGGGCCCGTGCACGCTGGCAGGCGGGCGCTGGCATCTTGTGGCGACCCGGGGTCTGGGCGGAGGGTCTGATGCGGCCTCGCCCCTTCCCTCGCAGTGCTCTCGGCGTTGGTGACCGGAGAGAGCCTGGAGCGGCTTCGGAGAGGGCTGGCGGGTGGAACCAGCAACCTGGGATCTCCCACTGACTCTACGGACCAGCTGCTGCCCCCCGGAGGCGACAGAGGCCGGGAAGTCCTGGACTTAGAAGAGGCCGACCTGGATCTTTTCAGAGGTGGGTGTGGGAGCTGCCCATCCTCAGACCCTGGTGGGCAGGTGAAGAATAAGCAGACCCAGGATTCTTGTTGTTTGGGCACCTGTGGGTTTGGGGTATTTATGGAAGACTTCAAGGAAAAGCTGCTCGGCCTGGCAAGCTTACTGATGGATCCTGGAATATGGACCCCGCTCTTTCTTGCTCTTGGTTCCTATATTCCAAGTTGCTGTTCTTCTGGGTACCTTGGAGCACATTGAAACAGGCAAGGTGTCTGGGGTCTGTACATTCCTCTGAGGTATGCCCGGTGGTAGGAACAAGAAATGATTGAGATGCTTTCCCTAGAGTTTCTATGTAAAAATGGGCATAAGTCCTAATTTCCACATCAAATGACTATTACTGTAGAAAATAACAGATGTGGAGGTGGTAGGCACATAGTAGGTATGCAGTGTATCCATCCACCTGTCTCCAGGTTGGGGAAACAGTGGGGAATGAGAAACTGTGATGTGGAGGTGGTAGGCACATAGTAGGTATGCAGTGTGAGGCTCCTCCATCCACCTGTCTCCAGGTTGGGGAAACAGCGGGGAATGAGAAACTGTTGGTCTCCCCAGGTGAAGCCAGCACCTCCTGGGGAGGCTATGAGTGAGGAGCACTGGGTCCCTAGGGAGCTGTATGGAAATGCTGGGTGCCTACAAATCCTCCCCCAAACCTGGAGACTTCCTGGCCACCTTGAGTCCCTGAGAGGAACTCCAAGGGAGGAAGGGCCCAGTGGGATCCTCCAATCAGCAGATGTGGCTATGGCTGAGTATTGGTGCAGATGGGGCAGAGTCCAGAGCCTCTGACATTGCCCGCATCCCGGACCCAGCCACCTGCAGCAATTCTTGAGGGTGGAGCAGGGACTGAGCCCTGGAGGACCGGAATGACTATATTTGGTTGGAAAGATACCCACCTGTTCTAGCCTCGCCCTGAGCCACCCTTCTCCCTCCTTATCCAGCGTTTCCCTTAGGTGCTGTATCTGCTTTGTATAAATCAAGGGTCTGCTGCAAAGCTGAACCTGGGCTCCCACTCTTCATCCTCTCACAGTGGACCTTTCTGGTCACCCCTGAATGCTCCTGGCCCTCACCTCCTAGGCTGGGTGAGCTGGGCTGTGACTCACCCTCCACCCACATGCCTGCTCCTCATACCTCTGCAGACCTGACTCATTGCTCTCTCTGCCTGGCAGGAGACAGGTTGTCACCCCGTCACTCTTTCCCTCGCCTCTCTGATTGGCTTGGGCTATCTGCCTCAATTTCACCACAGCTCTGGTCACTGGGTTGTCTGGGCATCTTTTATTAAGTGCTTACTGTGTTCTAGGCACTCAACATGTCATTGTGGGTTAATTAATCCTTATAGCAACCCTCTGAGATGGGAACTCTTACTGTTCACTTTTTATCAAGAATCCCAAGATTCAGAGTGATTAGTGATTTACCTGAGTTCACATGGCTGAAATTAGAGCACAGGCCTGCTGACTTTAGAGCCCCTTCATTGTCTCATTCCTGGCTCAGCATCCCAGGTGCTCTAGACTTGTCTGGGGGAGGGGACAGGAGTGTGTGAGGCAACTTGGTGTATTGGGAAGGAGCCCTGGATACGGAGTCCAGAGATTATGCTTCTAATTCAAACCCGGTATGACTTTGTATGATCTTGGGCAAGTCACTGCCTTTGGGAACCTCAAGTTTTTCACTTGAAATGGAAAGCCATGATATTCTTTTTTTTTCCCCTTTAAAGTGTTTTTATTGATTTTTAGAGAGATAGGAAGGGGGAGAGAGAGAGAGAGAGAGAAGAGAGAGAATGAATTGATGTGAGAGAAAAACATTGATCGATTGCCCCCTGTACACCATCTGACCGGGATTGAACCTGCAACCTGGGCACGTGCTCTGATGGGGAATTGAACTGCCTACCCTTCAGTGCATAGGATGACGCTCAACCAACTGAGCCACACCAGCCAGTGTGGAAAGCCATAATATTCTTTGAAGTCATTTCCAGCTTGAGTATCCTAGATCTCCAGCCTAATGTTTGATGCTCACCTGTCTGCCAAATACTTAGCTACAGCCATGGACAGTGGGCACCTTTTTTCCAGCTGGGGGCAGGGATGAGGGGGGACTGGTGTCAGACCCCTGGGCTGATGGGCGTAGCCTATGGTCAGTCCCAGCTGGATGTCTGTGTGAGGTGGTTTTTCCCTTTTGAAGTGTGAAAGAATGGGGGGAGTCATCGTTGTTTCAGTTCCTTCTGGATAGTCCCTTACTTTTTATCTTTCTATCCCTTCTACACACTATACTCCCTATCCTAGAGAGCCAGGACATTTGGGATAAATGTAAATGGACCTATGAGAGAAGTGGTGAGCTGCAAAGGGCACAGAGCAGGACAAATATTTTGCTTGAAGTAAAAACAGCAAGGCCCTGAACAGGGATGGCTTACTTGCTAAGCTCATGGTACCCTGGTGCTAATGGGTACCCCAGAGGAGTCCACCTGGACATGGGCACTGTTCTTATTTTAGGACCCCCCCCCAAAAAAAACCCCAAAACCCTCCAAGAACCTTCTCCAGAAGCAGTTTTATCTCTGACATGGTCTTCCTGCAAGTGGGCACTGAGTGCAGCATCAGGAAATGAGGTTGATTTAAGGCCAATGTAGAACCAGGTTGGCATGGGGCAATAGGAGATGGGGATGGACAGTGGGATGGGGGTGAGGTTGGTAGAATTGCCCCATCAGTTGCAGTTACTCCACAGAAGCTAGCATTCTTCCTGGAATGAAGTTCTTAAACTGAAGTTGTGAAATGCCTTCCTTGGGACCCCACTAGGCTCTACTTCTTCCACCACTTTCTGGTTTTTCTGCCCACTCTTTTCTTCAGCCCTCGGGAGGTACTGAGCCAATGGGCCTCCCAGGCTTCTGACTTCAGGTGGGATCAAAGAGTACATTCCCTTCCAGATGCTGTGCTATTCTGATTCTTTCTCTGTAGGGGTTGGTGGGGGGAGGTCAAAGACTTAACAGAGTACTTTTCTCCTGCAGCTCCTTTCTCCTCCAAGCCACAAGCTCTGGCCACACCCAGCAAGGAAGAGCGTGGGAAAAGAAAGAAGAAAGGCAAGGGGTTGGGAAAGAAGAGAGACCCGTGTCTTAAGAAATACAAGGACTTCTGCATCCATGGAGAATGCAAATATGTGAAGGAGCTCCGGGCTCCATCCTGCATGTAAGTGCTCCTGCCCCCAGGCCGACTCTCAGCCCACTCTTTGTCAGCCACGTGGCTGTTCCTAGTTGTCACTGTTCCTTGAATTCATAATTCCACCCAGTTTCTTCTCAACCTTGGGGCGGAAGTTGGGAGGAAGGGAAATATTTTTAGTTAGAGGAAGGGGCATCCCCCGCATAGGATGCAATTTCCTGTGGTGTGGGTCTGTGACGTTCTTTCATCCTTGGGGTCATTTCCTGCTTGCTCAGAAATAAGCATGTGGCTAGGAGAGCCGACACCTGAAGACAGGTCCTTCATTCCCTGCCTCGTGCCTACTCCAGATGGAGTATTTCTGGGTGGAGCAGTGCTCCTGTGGCCTCCTTTCCTAGGCCCTGCAGGCAGGTATGCGGTACATTTGGATACATGCTGTGCAGGCATGTGTGCCCTTGAACATGTATGCACATGAATGTGGGTTGAGTCTAAGGCATGGTGGGACTGCACAGAGAGTGATCCTCATGGGAGTGAGGAGAAACCTCTCCTCCCTTTTTCTCCCCCTTCCCCCAGCAAGGGCCAGGAGGTAGGGCACATGGTGGGTATTGGCCTTTGGTCATGGGGTGGGAGAACACTTCCTTTGTGCAAGATTAACAGGAAGTGGAGCCCAATCCAGTAGGCATCAGCCCCCAGTCAGGCAGCACCACCCTCCCCTAGGCAGGGTTGTGGGTGGAGGGGCCATGGGTTCCCCAGCTGATCTGTCAGGCCATGCCCAGAAAACGGCTGTCTTGGCAACCCCTCAGGGATGACGGCACTGCCATGCTCTCTGGCAGGCATAATGTCGCCAGTGTGCCTGAGGCCAACACCCGCGTCAGGCTGTAAACATCCACTCTCTCCTGCTGGGCGTGAGGCCCTATGGGGAGGCAGGCTCTGTGACCGGGGAGACTCTGGACGGGGCCAGGAGACTGTTGGGTGCACACCACCCCCCAACCTGTCAAGAAGACTTGCTGCCTGGCATCTTTTCTGTGATGGTGAAGATCCCTTGGCTTTTTAAAACTTCCTCGTCCCGTCTGATCTCACATGGCCATGCTGCCCTGTACTTGGCAAGTGGCAGACAGACTGACTACTCCCCACCTTGTCCACAGTCACTTGTGTGTCCTCTCCTGTCACATCCTTGTCAGGAGCTTGGTATTGGAGGGGGTTGCTTAAGAATGACATAGACAGTCTCCACATTACACTTCCCAAGGCCTTGGGACAGGGCAGGAAATGTTTGTCTTAAATTTTTAAAATGGCATCATTAACACAGGGTGGAGGCAGTGACTCTGAGGGTAGTCAAGAGGGATTGAGGCCAGGAATCTGTCTGGGCCGAATGGGACCAGGGCGTTGGTGGATGGACTTCCACTGCTCAACTGAGAACCCTTGTAAGATTGCTCTCCTGGAAAGCTGGCCTCAGCCAGCCGCCTAAAGCCAGAGAACCTAAAGGGTGCCCAGAGCCAAGGTGGCCCTAGGGATGGTGATGATAACCATGATGATGCTTCTCTCCTTTGCCCTGAAGTTTATATTTAACGTGAGTTGAGCCCAACAGGTGTATGTTGAACGCCTACATGATGCCAGTTGAGCATGTACGTGATGCCAGCTGTTCTAGGGGGTGGGAAGATATAGTCCTGTCTTGGGATTCTCAAACACTCTCTGCTGGGTAGGCATTGCTTACTATCTCTACTTGAAAGATGAAGAAACTGGAGCCAGGAAGTAGGAAGTGATTTGCCTGAGATCAACAGCTAAATAAGTGGATGGAAACAGGACAGGGACTCAGGTGCCTGACTTCCAGTCCAACATGCTTTTTATGTCCCCGGGCTGCCCTGGGTGTTGGCTGGCATCCTTCTTCCCTGTCTATCCTTACAGAGTTTGAGCCGGATTTTAAAGAGGGCAGTTGTTAGCCTAGAGGTCTTTAAGACTTTTACTAGGCGAAGAGAATGGCAATCTGATTTGAAGACTTTGTGTCTGCTTCCTAGGCATATTTTCAGGGGGCTGGATTCTGTGTCTGGTTGGCTGTCTCCTGCCTCCAGCCCTTGGTATACAGGGCAGAAGGCACCAAGAAGACGCAGAGCTCTTGGTTTGGGGGAATGTGACATCTGGGCACCTACATCTGGGGCCCTTTGTGGCTCCTCCTTGCCTCCAGACAGGAACCGCCACAGGGTGTGTCCAGGCTGCTGTGGTGAGCTTGAGGCTAGTTGGCTTCCTAAGCCAGCCCTCCCCGGCCATCATCCACAGGAAAACTCTTTTGTGTCACCAGCCAAATGTTACCCTCAAAGAGCAGTTTCCTGGGGCTCCTGACTGGCTGCTGACCCAGATATTGGCTGCAAAGTTTCCTGTGGCTGGAGGAAACCTGGGAGCAGTTGGGTTGAGGACTCAGAGCTGGCATGGGGACAGGCTTGAGGGCTCTACTTGCCTCACTGCCAGGTGCTGAGAAGGAATGGCAAACCCCTTCTCTTGATCTTCACAATACTTCAGTGAAGTAGGCATTTATTATTCTTGTATTTTTTAAAAAAATATTTTTATTGCCCTAGCTGGTTTGGCTCACTGGATAGAGCGTTGGCCTGGGGACTGAAGGGTCCCAAGTTCGATTCCGGTCAAGGACATATACCTTGGTTGCATGCTCATCCCCAGTAGGGCGTGTGCAGGAGGCAGCTGATCGATGCTTCTCTCTCATCGATGTTTCTAACTCTCTATCCCTCTCCCTTCCTCTCTGTAAAAAATCAATAAATATATTAAAAAATATTTTTATTGATTTCAGAGAGGAAGGGAGAGGGAGAGAGAGATAGAAACATCAATGATGAGAGAGAATTATTGATCTGCTGCCTCTTGCACGCCCCACACTGGGGATTGAGCCCACAACCCAGGCATGTGCCCTGACTAGGAATCGAACCATGACCTCCTGGTTCATAGGTCGACGCTCAACCACTGAGCCATGCCAGCTGGGCATTATTCCTGTGTTTTACATGAGAAAACCAATGCTTTGAAAGGTACACGTAACTGCCCAAGATTGCCTGGGTAGAAGTAGCAGCAGGCTGGAACTCAGGTATTCTGAGCCCCCTGCACCAATGGTGCCCCCTCCACCGCCTGGAGTAGAGGTGGAGAAACCCAGTTTGGAAGATGTCTCTGGACCCTAGAGGGTTCTTGCTTCTGTTGTAACACAAGCTCTGAAATGGGTCACAGACAGGGGTAGGAGGGTCATGTCCCAGTTTGATGGAGCACTCACTCTCTGGCTCTGGAGAAGACACACGATCTTGCCCCCACCCTGGGGTGTTTGGAATGCACTCATCCTCCCTCCTTCCCTGGGGAAGCCAGGAGTCTGCTGCAAAGGGAGCGGGAGGTCGGTAATATTAGGATGTTTACATTATTATCCTTTTGACTCAGGGTGGGGGTGGAGGGATTATGTAACTGGATTGCAGGACCCTGAGGCCAGGCTTTATTTCTATCATCTGAGTAACTACCTGTGGGGTTTGAATGATAGGCTGCAAGTGAAAAACAGGCTCAACTTCAGCTTTCCTCCCTCTGGGAGAGCAAGTATCTGAAGTCATCCAAACTGCTGGATTGAATCCTGCCTCTACCACTCTCTAGCTGCGTAACCTTAGCTAAGAAGTGAAGCCTCAGTCGCGTCATCTTTAAAATGGGGAGAGTAATTCCTACTTCATAGAGATGTTTTTAAGGTTAAACGAAATGATCCTTGTAAAGAAATTAGCAGAGCACCTGGCTTATTTATTATTTAAGTTAATAATAACAATAACAGCAACAGTAATAGTAACAGTAACAGTCAGAGAGCAGGGCCCAACAGCCCTAGGAACCCATCAACCCATCACATGTATTTTCCTGGGGTCATGTGCACTGTTTGTGAATTTGGAATCTGCCAGGGCTGGTTTCTAGTCTTAGCTCTCCTGCACGCTAGTTGTTTAACTTTTGGCAGCACGCTGAGCTCGGAGTCAGACCATCTAGTCCACACCTCTGCCCTGCTGCCTGCCCCTAGGGAAGCAGCTCTGCCCTGCTGCGTGCCATGGCATTCCTACCTACATCAAAGGGTCTCCCGGTGCTCAGGATAAGGAAGGGACGGAAACGTGCTTGTTCAATTGTAAGCGCTTCCGAGTCTTCCTAAGAGCTTCCAGGAAATGCTTTGTGTTAGAAGAAGCAGTTGCCATCTGATTTATTTCTAGAGTGAGAAGAGCCAGGGGTTTGTTTTTGACATTCTTCCACGCTCTGGCAGGACAGCTGGGCACGATATTACCTTGGTTTGTTTGCTTTGTCCTGTGACGAAGGAGGCCCCATGGCCCAGTGTTCAGAGGCCAAAGGCTGAAGTTGAGCTCTCAAGTTGGACTCTGCACCCAGGGAGAGCTGGGAGTTAATTGAAGGGAACTTGAGAAAAGTGACTCCTGGCAAAGGCATGGGACCTATTAATAGGCTGGGTAGTGGCTGAGAGGGACTGAACTCGGGAGGCATTGATGGGGAAGGCCGGGTTTATTTCTGGGTCAGAGTGTCGAGGGGCCTCACTAGGGGGAGCGATACTGAATCTCCTCAGTTCAACCCACCAGCTCTTATGATTAAGTCCTCTGGACCGGCTTAAACAGACCATCTTCTACACGTGCAATAAATCATCCACACGTGGAACACATCTAGCTGAGAGCTTGAAGTCCCCCCTCCTTTTTTCCCTGCCTGGAGCAGGAATCTCAGGCCAGGGAATCAGAGGGATTGGTGAAGGGGGGTGTGAAGCGGGGGAGGAAGGCGATGGAGCCCTCAGAGGGGCCTGTAAAGAGCCCGTACTGGAGAAGGATAGAGGGCAGGGATGATGGTTAGGGACCATGAGGGTGTGAGGAGTGGGGTTTGGCTCATGTAGGTGGGCCGTTGACAAAAGTGAAAGGCCAAACTAATAACCTCATCTTTGCTTTGTTCTGTCTTGAACCAGTTGCCACCTGGGTTACCACGGAGAGAGGTGCCATGGGCTGAGTCTCCCGGTGGAAAATCGCTTGTCTACTTATGACCACACAACCATCCTGGCTGTGGTGGCCGTGGTGCTGTCGTCTGTCTGTCTGCTCGTCATTGTGGGGCTTCTCATGTTTAGGTGAGTGTTGGGGGCCCCTGCAGGCTGTTTCTGCAAATCACTGCCATTCCTTGTCTTCCTCCCGGGTCTTCTGCCTGGTGACCAATTAAGCCCTCTAACCTCCCCAAATTCTGGGCTAGGATTCTGATTGCATTTCAAGGACAGGTTCTCCAAGGACCTGACTCCTCTGGTTTGACACGTGTCCCGTGTCTACAGCCAAGGGCAAAACTCACCAGGCCATAGCAGGTCCTGCTGCTCACAGCAGACCTGGTAACCCACCCATGGAACCACCTCTCCACACAGAACTTTCTCCTGGCTTTGTTCTAGTGTGTGGTTTGACATGGGTAGTGCTATTGGTATATCCTGCAAGACTGAGGCATTTGGCCCTAGGCCATGCTTCCAATCCAGGTTATGTTCTCGGTTGGGGGAGACCTACCAAGCACTCTGTGCTCATTTTCAAGCAGCATAACTCATTTGTTGTGAGACCTGGACCAAGTTACATACCTTTCTGAGGCTTGTAGTCTTTGAGTGATTGTAATCTCTGTCCACCTACCTCACAGGGTGCTGTGAGGATTATATAAGTGAGGAGTAAATTTCTTAGCAAGTTGTAGCCTGCTGCTGTTAGTGTCAGTTTGGGTTCCTTGGCACAGTTGGACCTTTGATCAGAGGTCTGTAGGGCTGCCATCCCTCTGGGCTTTTCCAAGTAGTGGGTGGAACCACCATGACAGCATCCTTCAGAAGGACTCTTTCTGGGACCTGCGTCCTGTTGTAGCGGCAGAGCTTGCTCACAAAACTTAACCTTCCTCAGGTACCATAGGAGAGGAGGTTATGATGTGGAAAATGAAGAGAAAGTGAAGTTGGGCATGACTACTTCCCACTGAGAGAGACCTGTGCTCAAGGTAATGGTCCGTTCTTTGCCCCATGGCACCATCACCACCTTTCCTGGATCTGTTTCAAGGCATATTGAATTCTTCTCTTGACCTGGGAGGGCAGGCTACTGTAGAGTTAGTGTCCCATTGCAGAGTGGTTGTCAAAAAGGCTGTCAGTAGTTCATCTCCACTAAGGGTGAAAGTTGCTAGAGAGAGACCCAAGAGAGATGCCTGAGAGGACAGCATTTCCAGCCCTCATCCCCTCTCCTCCCACCCTCTCCACCCTTTCCCAGAGGATCTTTCCACTTATTAAGACTGGATCTAGGAGACTCTTAAGGCCCCTTAAGACTGGATCCAGCTTTAAAGTTCTTCCTCTTGTTCTTTAGGAATCAGCTGGGGACTGCTACCTCTGAGAAGACACAAACTGATCACAGACTCTGCAGAGGGGAAGGGCTTCACAACCAGCCATGAAGACTCCCTCATCCCCAGTTGCCGTCTAGATTGGGCCTCCCAGTATTGCTTTATCAGAGCCTTCAAGTGCCAAACAGAGTATGTCCAATGGGATCTGGGTCAGGAGGAAGCAAAAGTGAGGGACCTTCATGCTCTTCTGATTCCCCTCCACCAAACCCCACTTAACCCTATAAAGTTTGTTTAAACACTTGTCTTCTGGATTAAGATGCCAGTTAATTCCATATGCTCCAGGATCTTTGACTGAAAAAAAAAAAAAAGGAGAGGAAGAAGGAAAGATTTGTGGACTGGGAGAAAGTAACAAAGATTGAAAAGCCACGGACTCAAGTAGTCACCAAGGGATCTGCCATTTGGACCCTACAGCGCTGGATTTGATGAGCTAACTGTGAAATACCACAAGCCTGAGAACTCTGAATTTTGGGACTTCTACCCAAATGGAAAAATAACAACTATTTTTTTTTTTGTTTGTTTGTAAAATGCCTCTTAAATTATATATTTATTTTATTCTATGTATGTTAATTTATTTAGTTTTTAACAATCTAACAATAATATTTCAAGTGCCTAGACTGTTAACGTTGGCAATTTCCTGGCCTTCTACCCCGCATTCCCCTACCACTTGGCTCAGCATCACTATCTTCTGCCACAAATCTGAGGTGGCTCTATGACCCATCTGTCATCCATTGTCTGTCCACATTTCCACAGATCTTCCACGATCAGAGTGCCACAGGGGGCGGTCTGTATGGTCAGGATGTAGGAGTTAACTTTGTCAGATCCACTCTATGAGTTGGACTGCAGTCTTGCCTAGGCGATTTTGTCTACCGTTTGTGTTTTGAAAGCCCAAGGTGCTGATGTCAAAGTGTAACAGATATCGGTGTTTCCCCGTGTTCTCTCCCTGCCAAATCTCAGAAGAGGTTGGGCTTCCATGCTTGCAGCTTTCCTAACCCCCTACCCTCTATAGCCTCAGGCCCACAGAGTGGGATCTCACTCTCCCTTGTGTCAAGACATTTCTCTTACTCCTGCCATTCTTCTGGTGCTACTCCAAGAAGGGGTCAGTGCAGCAGGTGATAATCGAAAGAGGTATTAGCGGGAAAAAAGGCTGAGGAGGAACAGGAAACATTGGAGCTGACTGTTCCTGGTAATTGATAACCTATCAATTGCTACAGAGAAGATTGGAGGTGAGGATGGCTTTTGTGTGAACCCACCCACCTCACCAAAACTACGAACGTATGCTTTCATGGTCCCTTCTGGAAGTTTCTGGTGCCATTTCTGAACTGTTACAACTATATTTCCAAAACTGGTTCATATTTGTACTTTGCAATTCAAATAAAGATAACCCTTATTCCATAGTCTTCTGTCTGCTTGTTTTAACTGGGAATTAGTTTGACGTAGGTATTTTCTAAGTCCTGATTCAATATTAGATCTACACTAGGCCTGTTTATGTATACTATTTTACTATCCCCAACAACCCTGTGATGGAGGTACTATTGTCCCATTTTTGCAAAAGGGGGTTCAGAGAGGTTATGTAACTTGCCTAAGGATACACAATTTTTTAAAAAATATATTTTTTATTGATTTTTTATAGAGAGGAAGGGAGAAGGATAGAGAGTTAGAAACATCAATGAGAGAGAAACATCGATCAGCTGCCTCCTGCATACCCCCTACTGGGGATGTGCCCACAACTAAGGTACATGCCCTTGACCAGAATCGAACCTGGGACCCTTCAGTCCGCAGGCCAACGCTTTATCTACTGAGCCAAACCGGTTAGGGCATAAGGATACACAATTTTAAGTGACAGCTGGGATGGATAGTCTGAATCCAATTATTTGTCTAAATAACTTACATTACACTACCTCTGACATGAAAGACAATAGATCTTTCACATAGGAAGTTTGCTGGCTGTAACCAGGAAAGACATTTGCCCATTCAATCAACAGACCCTGGACCCAGGGCCCGATCCTTGGCTGTATATGCAAGCAGGCATTGCTCTTGGTGGAAGGTAAGCACCTTTGATTCCCCTCTCCTGCTCCACAGCCAATCCATCAGCAAGTCTTACAATTCCTACCTTTAGAATGTATGCCGAATGAAGCCACTTCTCATCACTGCCACTGCCATCACCCTAGTTCAATTCACCATTATCTCTTGTCTGGACTCTTGCAATGGCTTCCTCTCTCCTTTATTTCACTTTGGTCCCATATATCCCATTTCCAATATAATAGCCAGAGTGATCATTTAAAACATAATCCAGATCTTGTCTGCCTTACAGGTCTTCCCTGACCACTCACATATACATTAACACATTCCTTCCCCACCCCACTCTTCTTATTCTCCTTATATTGTTTCATTTTTCTCTATAGACCTTATCACCATTAATATATTATTTGTTTATTCTTTCTCTTCCTACTAGGATGCTAGCTCCATGAGGGTAGGTGTACATTTCTTCAATCCCAGATTCTAAAACAACGCAATTGAGTTGTAGGCACTCAATATTTGTTACAATGGATGAATATAAGAAATGACTAAAATCCACTCCAAGGCCAGCCAGTGAACAGGTATGTGATCCAATGCCTCCCTGGAAGTGTGGCGGGGTTAAAAGTAGGGCCTTTGTTTGGGAGTGTGGATGGGAATGGCAGGTCATGTGGCCATGGTGTCCTGGGTGGATTGAAAACAAAGAGACCTATTGGGAGCCATTGGACAAGTGCCACTGGACTGCCCCCTCCTCATCCTCTTCTCTTGGAAATCTGTGACACTCTGAAGTTTTCCTAGGAGCCCACACAGAGATCTTGTATGTACTTTGAATATTCTTGTAAGACTTTCGGCAGTTGTAACTACCAAGGCTGAACATATACGCATGCTATAATCCAGCGCTTCCACTCCTAGCCATATACATAAGAGAAATGAGTGCATATGTTCACTAAAAGATATGTAAGAGTGACTTAGTGTTACTTACAATAAATGGAAACTTCCCAAATACTCGTCAGTATTTGATGATGAAATGAATAAATAAATTGTGATAGATCTATATAATGAAATACTAAAGAACAATATGGATAAATCTCACAAGCATAATGGCTGAGTGAAAGAAGCCAGACACAAAAGGGTACATCTGTGCCATTCCATTTATTTAAAATTTAACAACAGGCAAAACTAATCTAGTAAAGGGAAAGAAATTAGGAAAGGGATTCCTATTGGGATTGGTAATGCCTGGAGGGGGCAGCTAGGGCAACTTCTGGTGTTCTGACAACATCATGTCCCGCAGTCTGGGTGCAGGCCAACCGGGTGAATTTTGCTCTCTTTGAGAAAATTCATTGAGTATATTTGTGCATTTCTGTATCTGTTTTAAACATGAGCAAACAGTTTTAAAAATTTGGATAGGGGATTCTTGTGCTATTTGCATTATATAAATCTCTGTAAAGTACCAATGTATTACTTTGGTAATCAGAGAAAATAGTACAGATGTCAAAAATAACAGTGAGTTACTTTGAATTCTTCAGGGGGCTCCCTTTCCTGCTTGCTTCCAAACTTTAAGCTTCCAGCCTTCACGCAGGGCTGGGCTTTTCTGAGCATACTTTGTTTCTCCAGCTAATGTTTCCTGTGGGCTCTGGGCTTCCTGCCTTTCAGCTACTCTCTCCTCCTGCCCCTGCTGTTGATGGAGTTCTCCTTGGCGTTGTCAGAGCTCCCCTGGGCATCTACTTGGCTGATATACTGACTCTGAGAGCCTCTGAACCTGCAGCCACTTCTCAAAATTGGCCAGCTCAGTAAGCACGGCCCACTGGACCGCACACTTTGCAGGCATCTTCTCAGCTACGTCTCATCACAACCAAGGAGGTAGGTGCTCTGATTCTACTCATGTTGTAGATGCCAAAAGTGAGTGGTAAAGGCAAGATGTGCACTCAGGAAGCCTGCCTCCCAAGCCTTCATGCTAACCACTAAGCTACATTCCCAAATGAGTTAGTTCTCAGTGCCAGACTATTTTCTCTTCTTTCCGTATCCAGAAATGGTATAGTAAAGACATCTTATGAAAGGGATCTTAGGGAACAGCTCCTTAGAGCCCAGGAGTTCCTTCTCCTGCCCCCAGTTAATAGATTCACAGAAGGCCCGAGGTGCTATATCAGGGAGCAGGGGAAGGAACGGGAGTGCAGGCTGACAAAAACTTGGGTCTGAGTCTAGGCTCCAGTGTTTACTAGGGGGTGCCCTCCTGCATGATACCTGACCTCTCTGAACCTGTCTCCCCATCTATAAAATACAGATGATAAGAATATCCACCTGGAAAAGTTGCAAAAACGATATGTGTGAGTCAAGTGCCTCGCTCAGGGCCAGACCCATGCTAGAGGCTCAGTAAATGTTGGCTATCTTCAGGAACCCATCCAAGGAGCTAATTGGTGAACAGCCAGGATTAAAACCTGGCCCTCTGATTCCCCATCCACAATTCTTTCCTTAGAAACAAACACTGCTTTTCAATCACTATTTTACATTTTAATCTCAACTTCTTTAATTTCAAAGAAGCCCAAATGGGTCTTAATAAATATTTTTGGGTTTAAGAAGCCATGGAACAGCAACTATGTCCAAATATATCACTTTTCAACTCTGGCTGGCCTGACATTCTTCTTTTCATCAACAATGCCTGAAATTCAAGCTTCCTGTTTGAGAATGCTAATGCTCCTGGGAATAGCCAGGCGTTCAGAGGCTGGCATTCTTTGTTGGTGTCATTCATTTTAGCTTCATTCATTCAGCAAATATTTGTGGAGGCCTCCCTGTCACCTTCCAAATGAGATTCATGCTCTGAAGGAGGGGGCATTTTGATTAAGTGAGGGTAGGGTAAGAAAAGAAGTAATTTTGGGGCCAGGGCATTCATTTATTCATTCAAAGAAATGGACTGGGCAATTATAATGTGCCATGTACTATTCTTGTTGGAGAATAGGGACACGACTGACACATGGACCAACAATACATGTGTAAATAAAGAAATAGGATAATTTCAGAAATAAGTAACACACACAAAAGAGTGATGTGCTGAAGAGTCAGTGGGGAATTAATTTATATAGGCAGCTCAAGGAAGGCCACTCTGAGGAGGTAACATCTGAACTGGGATAAGAGGGGATCAGGCATGTGAAGGCCTGAGATAAAAACAAGCTTAATATGCATGAGGGACAGAAAGGGACCCCTGAGCTGCAGCATAGCCTTTGGAGGTTGAAGAGGGAAGGAAGACGGGATCATGTGAGGCCTTATAGATCACAGTTTGGAAGCCAATGGAGTGTTTTGAGGAAGGGAGTGATATGATTTGATGTATGTCTTAAAAATAAAAATATGGTCTGGCTGCTGTGGCTCAATGGTTGAGGGTTGACCTATGAATCAGGAGTTCACAGTTTGATTCTCGGTCAGGGCACATGCCTGGGTTGTAGGCTTGATCCCCAATATGGGGCATACATCACTGATGTTTCTATCTTTCTCTCCCTCCACCTTCCTCTCTGAAATAAATAAAAATATATTTATTTAAAAAATATGACTGCTCTACAGAGAAGCGGGTCTACGGGGTGAAAAAGGAAGAAGCAAGACCAGTTAGGAGACTTTTGCAGTCATCCAGGCAAGACATGCTAGTGGCCAGGATTAGAGTGGTAGCAGAGGAGGTGGTGAGAAATGGTGGAATTCAGGATATGTTTTAGAGGCATCACCTACAAGACATGCTGATGGATTGAATGTCGGTACCATGAGAAATAGAAAAATCAAGGATGATTTATTGGATTTTAGCCTAAGAAACTGGGTAAATGATGGTTCTGTTCATCAAATTAGGAAAGAAAGGAAGTTCAGAAGAGCCATGAAAATAAAATACTCTTTTGTGGACATATTAAGCCTATATGGGGTGAAGGAGGGCCGTGCAGAGAAAGCAATGGGAGGAAGGGGGATGCAAGGAGGAGAAGAAAAAAAAGAGGCAAAAGGCTTCTAAATAAGAATCGTACTTAATCCTCACACTGCCCCAGGGAGGTGGGTAGTATCATTACACGTTCTGTTCATCAAATTAGGAAAGAAAGGAAGTTCAGAAGAGCCATGAAAATAAAATACTCTTTTGTGGACATATTAAGCCTATATGGGGTGAAGGAGGGCCGTGCAGAGAAAGCAATGGGAGGAAGGGGGATGCAAGGAGAAGAAAAAAAAAGAGGCAAAAGGCTTCTAAATAAGAATCATACTTAATCCTCACACTGCCCCAGGGAAGTGGGTAGTATCATTACACCCAGTTTAATGGATGAGGGCCCCGATACTCTGAGGAGTGAAGTACCTTGGGCAAGGCTGTTACTAAGTAATGCCCTTTGGCTTGATGCTGACCTTTTCCAGGAGGGCCCAGGCTCCTCAC